GACGCCGCCGCGCTCCTGTCGCTGCGGCGGCGGGGCCAGGAGGGCCTCGTGAAGCTGTGCTCGCACTTCCAGCTCAGCGGGGGCACGCCAGGGAGACGCCAATACGTCGTCATCCTCGTCGTCCTCCTCCTCCTCCTCATCATCATCAATCCCCTCGTCCGTCTCCTCCTCCGTTTTTTTTATAGTCAGGTGTCTTCCTCCTCCTCCTCCTCCTCCTCCCTCCGTAGCCATTTTGGCTCAAGTCCGTCCCCTCCGTGGGATCTCGGACTTGGGCCGAAATGAATTCCATTGCTGTCTCGCCCAAGGCCTCCTGGCCGGGCGCCGCGCCGCCCGCTGCCAGCGCCCGCGGCCCCATATGCCCATGCTCTGGCACGCGCGGGTGATCCCGACCGTGCTGCTGGTGCTGTCCCTGTCGCTGCTCGCGCTTGTGCAGATGCCGCATACACGTTCCGAAGCGGCACGACACGTTCGTCGTTGCCGTTTCCTTCAACATCACGGCCCTCGGGGTCTACAAGCTCTCCAACGTGGCCGTCTACATCGTAGTGGAGCGCGGGCAGCGCTGCAACTGGATCTACTCCTTCCTCGTGCTGTCGTGCAAGGCCCATCCATGCACAAGCTCCAGATGATCCCCTTCATCCCCGTCGGCACGTGCGATGGCGGGGAGCTGCACCTCGTCTCCGACTTTCTCCGCCGACTTCGTGCCGATGATGTCGTTGCTGATGGCGCCCTGCCTGATCCTGCGCTCGCCGTTCGCGGCGCTGATGATGCTGCTGCGTCTGTCGGTACCGCTTTGCATGTTCAACACGGCCATCTACCTGAAGTTCGCCGCCATCCTGGTGGAAGTCTCGCCGACACTGCCGTTGGAGTCCTGCATGCCCTACCCGCTCACTCCGCCCGCTTGGGTGGTGCTGGACCACTTCCGCCACGGAACGGCGCTGGTTCCCTTCCTCCACTTCATGCGCAACCTGCCCCTGGTGATGATCTCGCTCGTGGCACTGCCGCCGATCCTGGCGCTTGCGTTCATCGCACTCCTGTTCTCCTTCATGGGCAACCTGCCGCTGGTGATGACCTCGCTCGTGGCGCTGTTCCAGTTCACGCAGCTGCTCCTGCGAGTGACGGCGCTCTTCCAGCTGCCCCCGCAGGCGCCTTGCCTATGGGCTGCGTGCAGGCTCAGGTCGACGACTCCACGGAGAAGCAGTGGGAGGCGTGGGTAACGTTCGTTGACACCCAGGTCCGCGACTACGTGTCGAAGCACAACATCGAGGAGCGGGTGTCGGATGCGGTGAAGGCGCTCCTGCAGGAGATGCCCTCCGACCCCACGGAGTTCCTCTGCACGGCGCTGCGCGGCGTCGACGCCGCGAAGGCGCCCGTGGCGCCGCCGCAAGATGGTGGCGATCCTCAAGTCCAAGCTCTTGAAGCGCGCGCAGCCGCCCTGGCCGGTGGTGATCTTCCTCCTGCCCCAGATGTCCGTCTGCATGATGCTCCTGCGGCTCCACGCGTCGGCGGAGAGCCCCTACCTTGCCCTGCTGCCCCTGCTGGTGGCGAAACTCATGATGTCGACCTGGCGGCTCTGTGTGCGACGGGTGTCGCGGCTTTCGGGGACAAGGCCACCCCGAGGAGACAGCATGCCGCCACTGGCGGCGAGTCCCCATCGCTCCCGACCATCCCGAAGTTCCCGAGCCTGGCGGCTGTCCCTCGCCACGTTCAAGTGCAGCCTCTTCGGCACGCTGACCCCGCTGCACATGGCTGTGGCGCTCATGAACCGCAATCACAGGTTCCTCAAGTGCATCTTCTTCAGCACGCTGATCCCGCTGCTCGTGCCTGCCCGTTGTGCGGGGACCCACACGCGCCTCGGGGAGAGGCTGGCCGTTGTGCTTACTGCGCGGTGGACATCTTCATGGGAGATCGGACAGGACCACCGCTTTCGCATTCACCGACCTGTGAGGACGACGCCAGCTCTTTCGACGAGCACTTCTTGAACCTCAGCCTCGCGATCCGCGCGGAGGGCGCCGTGGAGGCATTCCGGAGCGTCCTGGACCGCTTGGACAGCGACATGGCGGAATTCATCATGCAGGACGTCCACGTTCCGCCGCTCTCAGAGGCGGCGCTCGCGACGTCATCATCGACTACTGAGAACTAGCTGCACGGCCGAGAAGAGACCCTGCCGAGCTTCGTGCCCTCCTCCTCCTCCTCCCCATCATCCTCTTCCTCCTCCTCCTCTACTTCGGTTGTCTCTTCCCCATGCCCTCCCCTCGAAGTACATCAGTTGGCTCATCCCCTCCTGCCTCACATTCATCTTCCGTCTCCTCCTCCTCTTCCTCCTCCTCTTCTTCCTCCTCCTCCTCATCGAAGGCGAACTCGTGCATGACACCAGGTTTGCGCAGCTGGCTTGGAGGGGAACATCTGTGAGGGGAGCGCAGAGCGAGGGTGTACTAGGACGGCTAAATATCTTCAGGGCAGCCGTAACATTAGGATCTCTCCCAGGAAAGTTGCGGGCCCGGGGGAGTTGTCCAGGTACTTTGCATTGCGCCCAGCCACCGTGCTGCGAAGTTCCCTAAATGCTATGTCCTACTCCCCCCATCCTCCTCCGTCTCCTCCTCCTCCTCCTCCTCCTCCTCGTCCTCGTCCTCCCCCTCCTCCTCCTCCTTCTCCTCCTCTTCCTCCTCCTCGTCGTCCTCCTCCTCCTGTTTACTCCTGCCACCCGTTCCTCTCCTCCCCCCTCCCCCTCCTGCCTCTCCCACCGACGACGACGGTGGCGACGACGACGAGGCCAGCTGCAGCGCTCGGCGCTCGACGAGTGCGACGCGGTGCTGCAGCGTCGGACGCGCGAGCTGGCCAGCTCGCGGCAGGCCGTGCGGAGGGCGCTCGAGGAGGCGCGGGCGCTGGTCTTGCAGCTGGAGCCCGTCCGCCAGTTGGTCGACGGCCTGGACGAGGCACGCAGGACGCGGGGCGAGACAAGCTCGGCGGAGGGCCAGTCGAGACCAACGACGGCCTTCCCTTGCGTTTGTTTTCCCGCATCTGGACCTCCTGAAGGCTCTTCGTCGCCACAGTTGGATCCGCCAAGAAAAGTGTCACGATGGACCCTGGGAAGTGTCCGGGAACCGATTTTGAACGGTTTTAGGCCAGTCAGGGGAACCACAGTCTTCTCAATTGGTCTTTTGACGAGCCCTCCTGGACCCGCCCCACCGTCTTGAAGCTGAACGTTACATTCAGTCTATCACCTCCCCCGCTTCGCGGTCCTCATCCTCCTCCTCCTACTCCGCTTTCTCCTCCTCCTCCTCCTCCCCCCCTCCTGCCTCTTCTTTTGTGCTCTCTTTTCCCTCATCTTCACCCTCCCATCTCGCTCCTCTCACTCCTCCCTCGTCGCCCTCCTACGCGTCCCACTCCTCCCTCGTCGCCGTCATCGTCACCGTCGCCGTCATCGTCGTCGTCGTCGTCATCGTCGTCGTTCCCGTCGTCGTCGTCCTTCGTCCTCGTCCTCGTCCTCGTCCTCCTCCTCCTCCTCCTCCTCCTCCTCCTCCTCCATCCTTCTTCCTTGTTCATCCCCCCTCCTCGTCGCACCACCAGACGTGACGGTAGAACGGGCTGGGCGTTGTGCATTTGATTTCTTCGCTACTCATGACGCCGGACATTGTAATCTCCAAGAGGCACAGCGATGGAGCGCGGGTGGTATTCAGACCGCAGCTCCCGTCCTCGCGCCGCGCACATTTGTCTTAATAGCGTCAACAATTAGTACAGACTGGAGGCCAGGTGGTTTTGAGATGCGTAGTTACCGCCGTGGCGCCGTACACATTCGTTTTTACATATTATACGGCGACGGTGATGGAGGGTGGTCCCTTGTCAAAACGAAGCTCTCGCCTGAGAGTGACTTTGGCTGTCAATGCCAGAAGTTGGCGATGGCATGCCGCTGAGCAGCAGCATGATCTCTCCCGTTGCCGCTGTCGGCCTTCCCGCGTGGCCTTTCCGGCGCCAACTGTGCCACGGGTTGGCGACGACGGCGTAACTACCGTTGCGCGCTCGCGACAGTAGGCGCCGAAATGCCAGAGAGGCCATTCGGTTCGCAAGCGCGACGCGTCGACGCGCTGACTGCCTCGCTCCCAGTTGCCCATGTGTGTTCCCCTCGATGCGCGCGCTTGCTTCGCAGGCGCAGCGAGCCCCCTGCTCGATAGGGTAGACGCAGACGAAGGCATCCATGGGCATTCCCCGGTGCTTCCAGTGCATGTTGCAATGGTCTGCTTCCGTGGACACGCGGCGTTGTATCTGAGTCTCGGACCAATCCTGCTGCCGATCCAGCGGGTGACAGATGCCGATGCTGGTGCGGACTGCAGCTCACGTCAAGCATGCTGGCGCTGGCCGGCACTCGAAACAGGCCGGGCGCCCCAGGTGCGACGATTTGCAAGCGCGCCTGCAGTGCGGGAGCACGAGCTGTACGGAGAGCACGGACACCAAACACTACTCGGGGCAGTCTGCCTCACCGCACAGTCGCACGCCGTGCCGCAAGCGGCGCAGCGCTGCTGCGGGTCACCGCGGCATTGCAGGCTCTCCGCCAGCTGCGCCACGTGAGCTTCGAACCGCTGGCTCACCTCGCGCTCCAACTCGAGTCCAAATTGAGTGGCCTCAGCTTCTCCTCCCACGTGCATTAGCAGTACGCGAGACACTGCGTTTGACCGGGGCCCTGTGGTTGGAGCATGCTGGGGGAAAAGAGATCGTCCACCACTGCCAGGCCTGGGTGTATCGGGCCACCCACAGCACATTGAATGCAGGGGAAAACATGCTCAAGCACCGCGAAGAGTGGCCGACGGAACCCTGCTGCGAAGCACACTTGGCCCGCCCAGTGTCGCAGCGCCCTCGCCGTCCAAGCTTGCTGGGCAACGAGTGATGCTTCTTTGAGGGCGAGGCGGTGCGCTTTGTCTGGCGCCACCGGAGGCCACCCGCGGACCCCATGAGGAGACCGCCCACGATGCCAGCCCGAAGCGCTGACACCTTGGACTTGCCAGCATGCAGCGGGATACCATATTCCTGGCACGCCTGGACGAAGGCGGAATGTTCTGTTGACTCTGGTTCTTGCAGCACGTCGAGTCGAGTTCGCGCCCAGTGCACTAAATCAAAGCCATCCAAGCACATTACGCCCACGTCGCCGGGCGGCGTCGGCCGGTCAGGGCGAAGTTCTATGCGCGGGTGCACCCGAGACTGTTCAAAGGCAAGCACGCAGATGACTCTCTGCATGATTGACACGGTCGCCGTGGAGATCCTTGCCACAGTGCGGATGCCGATCCAGACGAGCTGGGTAAGATCTCCTCCGAAGGCGGAAGCTGGAACATTTGAGAAAACGTATAACATGTGAGTCGTTCTTCCGATACTGTCCATAATTCGTTTCCATCTTCCAGGAAAGACGTGGACACTACGGCCGCGAATGGCAAAATGTCGTCGTCTCCGCGGAGTTTCCAAATGAAGCCGATGCTTGGGGTGAAAACGGAAGACTTGGCGATCAGTGATTTCGGCAAAGATGTTTCTTCGAAAGCCCTCTTTGACAATATTATACCATTATCTGTCGGATGCGTGAACGCGAAAAATCGGAGGCTCAGGCAATAAGCAGGCCCATGGGTTGAAGACGCCGTCAAGGAGTTCACAGTCCAGCAAGGACGTGACCTGGACGGCAGCCGCCTCCCCTGTTGCGGGCCACTTCGGGAACACCTTGTCTGCAACCAAGGCCCGCCGAGTGGCTGCATGCTCTCTCATGTAGCTTGTCTGGCGCGTCTGGAGGTGCGCCTCCAACTCTCTACTGTGGATGCCTGCTTTGTGCAGGAGACCGAATTGTGGTCTGCTTCTCACAAGTGTTTCACGACGCCCTCCTGGGCAGCCGTGAGCGGTACATGGGCTTGGCTGCGTCGGCTTGTCGCCGATGCCCTGGGCACGCTCTGGCGCGCTGTCCCAGGCTGCGTCGCCATAAAACTTGATGGCGGGTGCCATGCACGAGACGGCCGACTGGCACGCCGAGGCGGTGTCTCCCGCATCCCGAAAGGGGACCGAGAGAGGTGTAGTGCCCGAGCTGTGTGCCCAGGAACGGCAGGGAGTCTTCCAATATCTCCCATCTACGACTTTTAGCTTCTAGCTGATTTAGTTTTTGTCGGAAGATCCTCCACCGGGCCTTCGGGCACGATGGGGGGGGCTGGGGGCGATACAATGTGGATGGGGGGGGGATCCGGAGAGGAGGGAAGGGAGGGGGGACACGACGAAGATTTGTGTGTATGCGCGCGCTTGTGTGATGCATGTTCTTTGCTATGAAAGATATTGCAAGACAGCAGCTCGCTAGAAACACGTCGGAGCGTTTCCTCTGCCAGCGCGACTGCCGCAGCCGCGTTTGCCCTCGCAGGGCTGTCGCAAGGGGTGCGGCAGTCCCTCGACATTTCATCTGAGGATCTCTGGAGGGCCTCCATGCCCGCGTGCGTCCTTCGGCACCCTGTCTTCTGGCGGCAGAGCTTTCGTGCTCCGGTAGTGTTTCGTCACAGCGTGTGGGTCACCTTCTCATCGGCCCTCAGAGATCCGGAAACCGATAACTTAATACTGATGATGACGACGACGCTGATGATGATGATGTTGATGATGCTGATGAGGTTGATGATGTTGATGCTCATGCTGGTGCTGATGATGGTGATGGTGGTGGTGATGATGTTGATGATGATGATGACGATGAAGGTGATGGTGATGGCGATGGTGCTGGTGATGGTGATGGTGATGGTGATGATGATGGTGATGGTGATGATGGTGGTGGTGATGATAATGATGATGACGATGCTGGTGGTGGTGATAAGGGTGATGTTGATGGTGGTGATAAGGATGAGGACAATGATGATGAGATAATGGTCATGGTGATGATGATGAGCAGGAGGAGGCTGCTGTTGCCGATGATGAGAAAGAGCGTGTTCTACCGCTGCTGGCGGAAAACCGGGGGGGGTCACTACCGGTTCGAACCCCTCCCCCCCCCCTCCGGAAAACCGGGGGGGGTCACTACCGGTTCGAACCCCTCCCCCCCCCCCCCAGCTCATCATGAAAAGGGGGGGGGGGTCACTACCGGTTCGAACCCCCCCCCCCCCCCCTCGAAAACCGAGTGGGGGTGCGGACAGTGGTGGGGACGGTGTTGGTGGGGACAGTGGTGAGGGGACAGCGGGACAGTGGTGGGGACAGTGGGGGGACAGTGGGACAGTGGTGGGTGGACAGTGGTGAGGGGATAGCGGGACAGTGGTGGGGACAGTGGGACAGTGGGACAGCGGTGGGGACGGTAGTGGTGGGGACAGTGGTGGGGACAATGGTGGGAACAGGGGGGGACAGTGGACAGTGGTGGTGACGGTGGTGGTGGGGACAGTGGTGTGGGGACAATGGGAATGAGGTGGAAACAGTGGGACAGTGGAGGGTACAATGGTGGTGGGGACAGTGGTGAAGGCGGTGGCGAGGACGGCGGTGGGACAATGGGACAGAGGTACAGTGGGGACAGTGGTGGGGACAGTGGGGACAGTGGTGGGAACAGTGGGACAGCTCAGTGGGACAGCGGAGGAGTCAGTGGGACAGTGGGGACAGTGGGGATAGTCGGGCAGTGGTTGGGGCCGTGGAGACAGTGGGGAGAGTGGAACCGTGGTGGGAACAGTTCTGGGGACAGCGGGGACAGTGCGACAGTGGTGGGGCCACTGGTGGGGACAGTAGGGGCGGTGGTGGAACCAGTGGGGACAGCGGTGGTGAGGACAGTGGTGCTGGGAACACCAGTGGGGGATGTGATGCGGACGGTGGTGGGGACCGGGAGTCGTTTGCTGGCGGTGAGTAGGGGGGGGGGGGGGGGGTTCGAACCGGTAGTGACCCCCCCCGGTTTTCCGGATCCGGAGGGGGGGGGGGGGGGGGGAGGGGTTCGAACCGGTAGTGACCCCCCCGGTTTTCGAGCGGGAGGGGGGG